GCGTGGCCCTAGCCACTGCAGCCTTCCTGGGAACATCACCAGGGTTGGCCAGAGCAGCACAGCTCCTTCCCTCTTCTAAGGAACCACTGACCAGGGCCATCCAGCACAGCCCCGGGCACTCCAGGGAGCTGCCATTGCCACAGCAGCACTGCCCTGGCTGGTGAGCCCCTCCCCCCCTTCCAGCCCTGAGCCCTCAGACCCAAGCCCCCCATCCTCTGCCCTCTTGTCCTCAGCCCTCTACACACCTTCTGCACCCCCTGCCTTAATTCCTGCATCCCCACACACTGTTCTTTTAGCTTTCATTTTTGAAAAATAAAATCATTTAAATAAACCATGTTTCCTCAAATATTTCCTTGGCACAGATTAGTCAGGGATACACTAATACTGGTAGCGCCACTTAGTCCTTCAACTGAGAACAATTGGAGTAGGCAGGAGAAAAGAAATTGAATTGGTCTGGTTCATACTCACACATACCTTTTAGGAGATCTATTCTACTCTGAATGAACATGTATGCTGAGTTCTTCTAAAGAGAAGGTGTTTGTGACCTGGATTTTGAATTTGGGGTCAGACTGTTTTATATAATATCCCTCTTGAATAAATAATTATTCACTTATATTTTAATGCTGGATTTTTAATTAATTGTAATCATAATATAAGCAAGAACATAGTGCAGCTAAAACTCTGAATATTCGAGTCCTTCTATACACATGTATTTAAATTATCAAGAGAATGTCCATTTTACTTGAGTTTTTCATTTAGGAGACAGAGAGCTTTCAAAGGGCAAGTTGAAATTAAACAATCACTCTTAAGATAGCTATTTTATAGAGTAAACAAAGGACAATACCTTTGCTTTTCCTTTAGGGACATAGTAGATACCAGAAGCTCGCAAAAGAAAATAACGCTTCTTCCAAGACTTCTTGCCATCATCTTTCAGCCACAGGACTCCCTCAATTTCTGGGACTGTTACAGAACTTCCACAAAAACATTCCTACAGGGGGAAAAAGTACACAAAAGCATATTAATTGTTTAAAATGATGAAATAGATTGGGCTTAGAACCCTGTTGGCTGAAACCTTTATCTAGAGCAGCGGTAGGGAAACCTTTTTTGGGTCAGGAGCTGTTGACCAACAGAAAAATCAGTCAGAGGCGGCATACATGTGAGAGGCAAAAAACAACCCATATCCCAAAAACCCAAACCACCCTCAATGACTCACTGAAAAGACGACTCTCCCTACATTCTCCTCACATACCAGAGACTAAGGAGGCCCAGGCTAATAGATTTTGTGTGCTCCAGTCCCATGGTGGGGCAGCAGAGGGGCTGGAGAGCCAGAATGGACTCCTCAATGCTGGGAGGAGCCCTGAGCCTCAGGGGCTGGATCCAGGCAAGCCAAGGGCTGCATCTGGCCGTTGGGCCCGAGATTCCACCCCCCCCACACACCCACCCGAGCTAGAGAATATATGCAGCGTGATTAGTGTTTTCTCCACTCAGTTCGAAAATGAAAGGCAAAAGGATAATTATCAGTATGTGCCCATTTGAACTTGGTCTCTGATTTAATAGTTCTCCCCTCTGGTACAAAAGGTCATTAAGGGTGCTATTTGTTGACAGGTTTTTTAACCAATGTATATCAATAATGGTTCCAAAAGTGCTCCAAAGGTTTTAACCAAGCCTGAAAGATCTGGGCGCACAGCTCAGCTGTTGAGTTAAAAGCTCAGTGTTAGTTAGTAGGCCCACCTATGTTCCATAACATTTTTAGTATTAGACCATCTCTACTTTCAATTTGCATAAAACTCTCTAGAATGTTAAGCTTATTAGGATATATGATTTTTATTCCTATACTTTTTGATTGTTTATTGTTATATCCAAGTTGCTTAAATTCTTTTGATTTTCAATAGCTTCCTTTTCAACAGTTACCTGTCTCCTTTGCTTTATGATTTTTGTGGGTTTTTTCAATCTGTTAGACCAGGACATTGCCAAATGCTTCTAAATTAGCTTAGTAGCACTGCACTGGATACAGCATGTTGTCGTCTGAGAACTATGCTATGAAATATGCTATAAACTTTGCTGGGGTAGTTAATAGCCGTTTGCATAGCATCATTGTCTGAAATATGTCCCTCCTCTCACTAGTCAAAAAGTAAGCTAGATTTATGTAAGTGACAACTATTTAAACACAGTTGTACACGGTTTTGATCCCATAATGGATGGGAAATTTCTCTCAATTTGTCTATTACAAAAAAAAAAAAAAAAAAAAACACACAACCCCGCACATACCCACCACCAAACCCACAAATAAAAACATAAAAATTCAGGAGATATCTTTATTCCAAAAGCTCCCAACTCAAGAACAGGAAAAAAATCTCCCTAGGGTACATGCTCAAGTCTAACTCATCCGGCTCAACACTTTGTGGAACCTCCCTCTCTATATCACTTTAAATCTTAGCAATAGTTTAAGAGTTTATTGAATATTGTAGCTCACAAATCACCCTTCTCTTATTGTTTTGGTAGTCTTACCTCCAGCAGCACTTCTTTATTTCTGTCTGCCATCTCAGAGGTTTCTTTATTTCCTAGCAGATAGTTCTACAACAAAAGAAAATGGAAGGATGAAACTATTACTCAAGCTCTGAAATCAAACCAAGTTATTTTTTTCACTTGCTCATGCTGCTAAGTATTGACTTATCTATATTAAGGATGTTAAGTACTGGATAACTGACTAATCGAATAGTCAATGCATTTTTGCATAGGATGTCTCTGCCTTTGAAGTGTAGTGTAAGCGGGGGAATGGTCCCGCTATTGTGGGGAACTTTCCTGGCTTCTATACCACCCCGGTGAAATGGACCAGCGAAAGGAACTGAGTCCCCGCTCCCACTTCCTTTACCCCACGGCTTCCCTGATTCTGAGGGCTCCCCCTTCCACTCTCCTGAGTAGCAGAGTCCTCGAAACCCCAACAAGGCTGAGTCCAGGTTTCCTGGGGCTTAATCCCTGACCTTGTAGTCAGTAGAGGCAGGACTTAGGGTGTCCCCACTCCGAGGTGCTCTCTTTACACTGCATGCTTTCTTGGCCAAGTGATCATTTCATAAGATTCAAAGCAAATACAATTTATTAAACATCAACTGATTAAAGAGAAAACAGTAAGAAAAAATGAGAATGGTTAAATGAGAACACACAGTCCTGCTCTGCAGCACAGGGACATCAAAACAGCAGTCTGCAGAGTGTAAGGACAGTCTACAGTCTCTTCCTTATAGGCCCCTTAGAGGCCCTGGATGTGCTGCAGGGGGCTGCAGGCTGGACACGCTTGCTCTGGCAGTGACCACACAGCCTCAAGCTCTAAGTGTCCAGACCCTTCTCCCAGTCTGGCCTGCTGGGCCTCTTGGCTGGTGATATCTCCCTGCCCAGAGCCTGTCTCCACACTTTGCTGGTCCCAGCTGCTCACCACACCCAGCTGCAGGCTGTACTGCTTTGCCAGTCTCCAGATCCTTGCATTGCTTCTCTGTCCCTTTTGGCTCTCTGAGCACTGCCAGTCTGCTGGTCAACACAGGGTCTGTGCTCCTTGGGCTGCGTGTGCCTGGCTCTGTTGCTGCAGGACTGCCCCTCAGCACAGCTTGCACTCCTTGGGCTATGTGTGCCTGGCTCTGTTGCTGCAAAACCGCCCCTCAGCACAGCTTGCATTCCTTGGGCTGTGCGTGCCTGGCTCCGCTGCTGCAGAGCTGCCCCTCAGCACAGCTTGCACACCTTGGGCTGTCTGTGCCTGGCTCTGTTGCTGCAGGACTGCTTCTCCACACAGCTTGCTCCTCTTAGCTGTCTCTCAGCTCTCTTCTTGCTCAGAGAGACCCAGCACAATCCCAGCTCACAGGGAGGACGGGGCCTGGCCTCTTGCTTTCCTCACTGGCCTGTCCAACCTATTAATCAGGACAAGCTGGAGTGTTGGCTGCTTTCCATTGTCCCTGGGGTCTGTCAGTCTCAGGGACCTGATTTGTCATGGACCCTTCCCCTTTTGGTACTGGGAGCTGGCGAACCAAAAACTCCCACAGAGTTTTAGTAAGGGGCAAACAGTCCCCTTACAGTAGCAACAGTCCTACGGCTGTAGCTGCACTTCAAAGGTGAAAGCGCTGAAGCCCGGGGTCAGCTAGGGACACCCCCACTGATCCTAGGCTCCAAGTGGCACTGCCACTTTGAAATCCATCGACTAATCAATTAGTTGATTAAACTAAATTTAACATCCTTAGTTATTACAAGCCATTTTCAAAAAGCATCTTGAGAGGGAAGCTGCAGATCTTAATTTCATTGACAAGTTTGATACCTGCAACAGAGGTTTAAACAAAGACCTTCACTGGATGACCCGCTACATCCCACATCCTAATGCCATACAAAGCCAAATGGCAGGTACTGAAGAGTATGTAGAACCCGCTCTATCAGCTTCCTTTAGCACGGACACTCTGACAATTCTTTCCTATTTTTCCCTTCTCTTCCCTTCCCTCTCCCCTCTCTTCCTCTGCTATTTATTTGTAACCTGGACCCCTTAACTCTGTTCATTTGAAGAACTAGGTTGTGCCTATTAAAGCGCATGATCCCATCTACATGATGTTAGTCTCTAAGGTGCTGCAGGACTATTAGTTGAGTTTTAAGTTTTTTCAATATCAATAGTCACTTTTGGAAATTTAGGCCCAAGAGTCTAGTGTATTAGGCACCTCACAGACTTAAGAACACGGTTCATGCCCCCAATGCACAAACTACAGATTAAGTAAGTAAGGTATCACGGTGCTTTTGCTAATTCTTTATTTTTCAAGTGATCCTGTGTTTTGATTCATGTTTTTATTTCCATCTCTCAATCACCTCAGTGCAATGGGCCTGTAGTATTACATCACATTTTTTGCATTTATGCTTATAATCAACAAACTAACTGCCATCCCCCTGTAGTCACTTACTGAAAAAGAAAAGTGACCTTTTTGTTGTTTCTTAGTAGGATTAGGAACCAACTGAAGGAAGACAGATCCTGCCTTCCTCAAGCATGTGCTGTTCTCTTCTCTCCACCTTCTCACAGAGCCCATCCACTTCCCATCACCCTACCCACTATGAGATGATGTGGAGAGCACTGCCAGTTTCCCAAAAGTGGTAAGAATCACAACACAAGCTCAAACTCTTTCCTCCAAATGTTTTAGATATGAACAGTGCTAAGTACAGCCTCTCTCCGAGTTACAGACCAAACACTTGGCCGTAACTTGAGCTGTTCTTAACTCAGACCCCATTGAGTTACACGCGACTGCGCTGTTTGTAAGCGCGGGTCGTGTTCACAACTTGGGGGCCGCCTTTACAACCGCTCCATGGGAGCTTTGGTCGTAAGTGCGAACAGTCGTAACTGGACTGTTCGCAACTCGGGAAGCGGCTGTATTAGTGAATACTGCATGTACACTGATTACATGGGCTGCTATTAATTACACTATATTATTCACATACTCAAAAAATGAATTGCTTAGATCACCAAGATTTTAATTTAGGGGCTGGTCTTGCACTAACAATAGATTGTATTCCGGAAGCACTGTTAAAATGCAAAGCTACTCTATCTGTGTTTGAACAGATACAAATAATAATATTACAGTGTTGACAAAGTTGCTACTATGAGACATTATAAGCTTAAAATTATGTGAAAAATCAAACAGCTACAGACTTACTTGAGGATTTTTGAAAAGTGCATATTTTTCTATACGTTCCACAAACACAAGTTTATTTTGACTGTCTCTTGTCCAGTTTAGAAGATTTTCAACTAAATTTTCATGGTCCTCGAAGATTCTCTCTGCATGAACAAGAAAGAGAAGATAAGAAAAAACATTTTTCTCACATTATGTAACATGATCTCAAAGCAGGAGCCTATACATGGAATATATATGAAGAAACACACCAATATAGTTAAGGGTTTGTTAAAATGGAAGAAAAGGTTCTAAAAACTGAACAAATGAAACGGGTTTGTTAAACCTGGTAAATTTGAAAGTTTATTCATTTTAAATGTATTCTAAGATTTACAGTAGTAAAGTAATACATCGTGCAAACTGTAAATATACCCTTTTTTGTACTTGTCACAACAAACATGTAATTTGTCCAGAGTGGCACCACTTATCATTCAATGGCTGGTTTACAGCGGTGAGCCTTAATTGTAGCCGTACATACATATCACATTTCCTCATCATCCAACACATATATTATTAATACATTATTACTATGGCAAAAACCAAACATTTCTCAAATTTGGAATTCCCATATTTAGTGGATGCAGGAGATAGGACATTATCTTGGTCTCATGCAGATGAAAGAAGTACAAGGACTGATCAGCTCATTTTCCATGCACTTTCAGAACTAACATAAAATTATCATCATCTGCTTCAACAAAGACCTAATTCCATCTTTTTGGCCACTGCAGAGCAGTCTGAGTATGCTGAAGGGAAATGAAGTGTAAAATGAGAAAACTATATTGAAAAAATACAGTTATACCTCAGGAGTGCCACCTGGACAAATGAGCAATTCCAAAGGTAACACAAAAGGTCCAACCCATCAGATGAAGTGGGTCTTACCCATAAAACGCTCATGATACTATATATTTTTGTTAGTCTCTAAGATGCCACAGGACTACTCCTCATTTTCAGTTACAGACTAACATTGCTACCCCCTGAGACTTTTCAAAAGGTATAGATCTTCGGTACATTTTTGAACTACCTTTTTCCTTTAAAATGTGTAAGGGGAGAATTCTACTCTCAAGGATATGTACAGTAAACTTCCGATAATCCAGCACCTTTAGGACCCAGGGGGTGCCAGATTATCAGATTTGCCGGACTATCAGAAGGGGGGGGTTGATGCCACCCCAGACCCCTCATAGCCCCCCCTTCCGATAGTCCGGCTCTGCCCCAGGCGTCCCTGA